CATCTCATTTCTGTAGTCCATTGAATCTGTGATTGTTTCCTTGGCCTACATTTTAATTTTACCTTTGGTACATACCTTATAATTTCTCAACCAGCAAGTCTGTTTTCTTTGCCTTTCAAAGACAGACGTCTACCCTGTAAAATCATGAGTCATAAAGAAACGATCACAAATGCTGATAACTGGGTACACAAGATGTCCATCACAGCATTTTTCATGCTTTGTGTAACAACAGAAACCCACTAAAAAGAACCTAAATAGCTAATTATCAGGGAATGGTTACATAAGTAATAATCCGTCTAATTAACAGGAAACGATGCAGACTATGAAAATAGCTACAAAGGACGTTAATAGTGATATAACATGTAGGAGGATTAGAAGGAAATATTCCCTTATTTTCATGGTGGTTAACACTGGATGGTAGGATATAGGTGATATCTCGTCTTATTTACGCTTTTATTCATTTCCCTACTTTTCTAGAATGAAGGTATATTAGTTTTACATTTGGAAGTAAAACTTTTTTCAAAGGTCAAAAGGGGTTAGTTGCTACCTCAGGATCTAGAAAGCTGGAGTGAGTTTTTCCCTCTCCTACGCTGGCTATTAGGAAGTCACTTTCTTCTCTCCTTTTAAAAGAGGGAAGGTATTTCCACATTATTAAGCAGTCAGCCAGTAGGGTTCATTCAAGAGCAATAAATTGACCTCTCAAGAGAAAATTAGTGAAGCTCAGGAATTAGAGCTAGAAACCCCTACTGAGTGGTCTAACTAACGCATCCCTCAAGAATCAGCGCCATGTACATTGCACTTTCTGGTATGGGCACTTCTTTTCAATCTAATTGTAAATGATTCAAGTGATTGCGATTTCACTGCTGTATTTTAGACCAGTCAACAAACTATTAATCCATCTTCCCTGAGCAGAATATAATAACTCCAGCAAACTTCAGAGATGCCAAACCACCTCTCTTGCCTGGACCTGCTAGCTGAACAAGTATCTTAGACCTGGTTCAAATCCTGGCACCTCCACTCAGCTATAAGGCCTTACACAAGACAGTTTACCTATCTGATCCTAGGTTTCCTCAGCTGTAAAAAGAAACCTCTCAGGCTTCCCTGGTGGCGCAGTGGTTGAGAGTCTGCCTGCCGATGCAGGGGACACGGGTTCGTGCCCCAGTCCGGGAAGATCCCACATGCTGCGGAGCGGCTAGGCCCGTGAGCCATGGCCACTGAGCCTGAGCATCTGGAGCCCGTGCTCCGCAACGGGAGAGGCCACAACAGTGAGAAGCCCGCGTACCGCAAAAAAAAAAAAAAAAAAAAAAGAAACCTCTCCACATATCTTACAAATGGTGCTGTAGGAATTAAATGAGATGATGCATCTAGGGAATGCATTGAGTGCACACAGTAGGCGCTCAGTAAATGTTTGGTGATTCCAGAGTGGTGGACCGGTGTTGAACAGTTGTTTTCCTGACAGAGGAGATGGGCTATGCTGAGTCAACAACCCCTTTTTTGTGTGTATTTCCCTGGATGACACAAGTGGGTTGGAGTGGATGGTGCAGTTCATGACCTTGAAACAGCAAAATTCCATTTGGTACCCAATCCTTGGGCTTAGTCACACCAACTAATATCACCAGGCTCACATCACACATGTGGCTCATACAGCCACCATTGGAGCCTTTCCATTGTTGATAAGAGCTGCAACTAGAACACTGGCCATGGGGATGGGAAAAAAAAGGATGGAGTAAAGAGTCATGTTTGACATGGAATCAGTAGGGTGTGATGAACTGTTCATGTAGAAGCTGAAGGAAAGAGAGTAATAATGCCCTCCAAGTTCCTAACTTGGATGACTACATGCACAGTTTATTGAGTCAACAAATATCTACTGAACACCTATTAAGAGCCAGGAACTGGGCACGAGGAACACCACAGTGAACAAAACAAACAAAAATCTCTGCTTTTGTGAGTTTACCTTCTAGTGGGAGAGACAGACAATAACTAGTAAACAAATAAATAGGACAGTTTCTGGTTGTGGTAATGTAGTGAAGGAGATAAATAGGATAAAAGGATGGAGAACAAGATTATGGAAGCCTGCTTTAGATATGATGGTCAGGGAAGGACTCTCTCAGGAGGTAAATACATGAGGTGATGGGCTCTGAAAATGAGGAGACAAAAGGTGAGGAGAGGGAGGGATACAGTCCAGGAAGAAGGAATAGCAGGTCCAAGACCTTGGGATAGGAAGAGGCTAGGTGTACTCCTTGAGAAATGAAAAGGAAAAAAAAAAAAAAAAAAGACCCTTGAAACTGGGCATAGTGAGGGGAGAGGATTGGCCGGGGAGGAGGTTAGAGAAATGGGTGGGACCCATTAGCCAAGGACCAAGCCTTGAGAAGCAGGTTCTTGGGGAGGACATTTTCACATTTGACATGCTGAGTTTGAGGCACCAGAGGCAACCTAAAAACTAAAGATCCAGACCTACATCCTGCGAACTAGAGACAGTATTGGGATTTGGGAAAACGTTCCGTTCCGTCAAGATCACTGGGGAGTGTTCTAAAAATACGGACTTCTCAGGCATTCAAAATACAGATTTCTGGGGTGCCACCCTGGGAAGTTTTAATTCAAATAGATCTTGGTCAAGATCCGGAAATCATTTTTCATTTCTCCCAGGTAATTCTGATCCATTCATTCAAGACTACTGCTTGCATTCCTGGTACGTACCAGGACAATTCTAAGTGCTGGAGACACAGCCCTGAACAGGTTACAGAGCTTATAGTCTCGAGAAAGAACAGACAGCAAACCAGTAAACAAAGTAAATTACCATAGTGATACATGTCACCCCCCCAAAAAAAAGCTGGTAAAATGTATAATAATTATGGGGACCTACACTAGATAAATCTAAAGGGCTCCCTGTCTCTCTGAGGAAGTGACATTTCAGTTGACAGCTGAGGCACAGAAGGAGCAGCCGTGTGACAGTCTTGGGGAACACCATTCCAGGCAGAGGTAACAGCCGAGGCAAAGGCTTACTCGAGAGCTCAGTAGGTGAATCTAATTCTCTGGCTTATTCTCACTTGATTAACCAACCAAAATGGGGGAGAAGGCATGGTGGGAAAGGTACTGTTGTACTGTTTCATCATTTTTTAAATCATTTTTAAAAATTGAAGTACAGTTAATTTACAGTGTTTCAGGTGTATAGCAAGGTGATTCAGATAGATATGTAGATAGATAGATATCCCTTTTCAGTATCCATTATAGGTTATTACATGATATCAAATATAGTTCCCTGTGCTATACAGTAGGTCCTTGTTATTTATCTATTTTATATATAGTAGTATGTATATGTTAATCCCAAACTCCTAATTTATCTCTGTCTCCCTACCCCACCCCTGCTATCCCCTTTGGGAACCATAAGTTTGTTTTCTGTATCTGTGAGTCTATTTCTGTTTTGTAAATAAGTTCATTTGTATCTTTTTTTTAGATTCCACATATAGGTGATGTTTCATCTTTATATGTTCACCCTATGCTAAGCACAATACCAGATACTGTACCAAGGGCTGACACAAAGATGAGCGAGACAGTTCCCTGTCTCGGGGAGTTTGCAGTCCAGTGAGGGAGGTAGATATTCAAATCACTGTGGCCCATGAAATGAGTGAGAGCATCCCAGATAATCAAGTGATGTTCTGAGAAAGCCGAGCAGATGAGTAATACTTTCTCACCTCATCTCTCCGTATGATGGTGTGAGCAACTTTTTTTGAGACTCTACACACTAAAATTATTTGCACTTCTTTGTGACCCTGCCAGCTGAGACTATCTGGATTTTTCATGAAATATTTGCAACAATGGATATTGGGTTTGAGATACTGTATAACGACTATATTTGGGGGAAATATCATTCTAATAATAGCTAACATTTATTGAGCCCTTAGAATAACGTGGCTTGACATGCAGTCTCATAGTCTTTACAACATCCCTATAAGGCAGGGTCTCTCATTATTCCACCTCTTTTGGATGAAAAAATCGGAGCTCAGTCAGGTGAGGGAATTTTCCTGAGGTCATTCAACTCAGATGTGATGACTTCCCAGCTCTATCTGGGTTCGGAGCCCCAGTTCTGGTCCATACCGTCTTTCGTAAATTGCCCAGATACTGGTACGATTGCTATCCTCACCCCAGTTCCCAAAGTGGATCCCTGTCTCTCCGTTCCATCCCAGTAACCACCTGGGTTGTTGTCTACACTAGTTAGATCTATCTGCTTCTCTCTTTCCTGTAGGTGGGAAAGTGGAGCGGAGAAGGACTCCTTGTTTCCACACTTGGGGGAAAGTGGAGGGCACCGGGGCAGGCCCTGACCGGGTGGTGCCCACTGCCTGTCTACACTCCACTCCAGTCTCCAGAGGCCCCCTGTGCAGTGTGTGAAGGGTTCGGCCCCAAACTGAGCACCTTGTTCCCTGCCCACCTGTTGAGGAAATCAGTGGGGCTCAATGTTCAAAGTCTTAGAAGAAGGAGGATGGGGCAGGGGAAGCTAATCCTTAAAGTCAAGAGGAAGTGATAAGTCTTTGGGCACCTCGGTAGGGTTGGATAGCCAACTGGATAGAGCTGTGTCGTCTGCTGTGACGCTGAATGTATTCAAATTCAGCTGCTTAAAAAGATGAGCTGGTCATCTTCAGCCTGTAGGTCAGCCAGTCTACAACGTAGAGTCTTTGCTTTCCCTTCCCGGAGCCTCCTTTTACTCCGGACTCTTAGGTGTGAGTCTGGGTGTCTGCCTGTTGGGCCCTGGGTGTGTCGTCAAGGAGTGCCTTCCCCCTATTTCTCAGGCTGGCAGGCTCCCTGTCTCCTCCCCCACGCCCTCGCTCCCTCCCTCCCTCCCTCTCCTGCGGAGGCTCTTGGCCTGGGTCCCTGAGTCCAGGCGGGTGCAAGTGAAGGGCGCCGGAGGGGTGAGGTTACGTCTCCCTGGAGCCCCGCGCCGCTGGCTTTTCAGCGACTCGCCGGGAGCCCGTGGCCAGAGCCCCAGACCGCGCCGACCGCCTCCCTGCACCGTGCGCCTCGCCCATGTCTCAGTCCGCTCCCAGCTCGGACATCAAGAGGGCTTTGGACAGCAGCCCTGAGGCCAACACTGAGAATGACAAGACCGAGGAGGACGTGCCCATGCCCAAGAACTACCTGTGGCTCGCCATCGTCTCGTGTTTTTGCCCCGCGTACCCCATCAACATCGTGGCTTTAGTCTTCTCCATCATGGTGAGTGAACGAGGGCCCGCAGCAGCCAGGGAGGAGAGACCTGGGCGTGTAGAGCCCCTCCTGGGGGCCCCTCCTGGGGACTCTTCGCACTCTCCGCCCTCGGCCGCTCCCTTCCTCACAGCCCCGCGTGCACCGGGGGTGTTCTGTCCTCCGCAGCCCCTGCTAACCTTTCTCGGGCTCTCCGCACTCTCCCCGCAACCATCAGCGCCGCCACTGCGCTCCCTGTGGCTCTCAGAGCCCGGCCCAAGCCTCCCCCAGGCCCGCTTTCCACTTCTTCCAGCAGCGCCCGTGGTGCATTCTCTCCGTCCGGGGGAGGTTCTTCCCCGGACATTCCCGCTTCTCTCCCGGCCTCCTCCGACATTCCTGGGCGCCCATCCGATTCTTCTCAACCCGTTTTTCTGGAGCCTCAAAGCGCGCCACCCTCACAGGCAGCAGCACGCCCCGTCCCCGAGCACGCAGGCTCCGCGCCGCTCTTCGCCCCGCCGGGGCTCGGCCTCTCCAGGGCGCGGCACTGTCTCTGTCTTTTAGCGCGGAGTCCTTTCTTTGCCGCGCCCGGAGCGCCGCCTCCGCCACTCTCTGAGGGTCCCCAGGCGATCCCCGATGTCCTCTAGGCCCCTGGTCCCACACTTCAGCACGCCCTCTCTGCGGCTCCCGTCCCTTCGCACTTCTTCCTACGCCAGTTCTCTCTGCCTGGCTCTCTTCGGCACCCTTTGACCCCGCTCTCCAGTGAGCCCGCTCTCCAGGCCTTTCTTGGGCTACCCCTGTGCCCCTCTCACCAGCAGTGTGCGAGCACACCTTTTACTCTTTCTGCCCCAGCATGTCGTAGTCCCTCTCTCACTTCCTGCGCGGGGCCCTATGCCCGCCTCTCTTGGTGGCCCTCCTGGGCTCCCAGGCGCCCCTCCACCGCTGGGTCTTACGGCCTGGGAGCTCCCGGGAACCCACTGGGGACTCCCGCACCCCGTGCAGCTCCGCGCGCCCTTTGCGCTGGCCTCCCGAGCTGCGCGCCTCTCTCTGAGCGTTCCAGTCCCCCCTTCCGAAGCTCGCCTCCACCGCCCTCTTCCGCCCAGGTAGGAGCTCCGTGCGAACCCCACCGGGAGGGCAAGGAGCGCCCGCGAGGTCCTAACCTTATTGACTGGAGCAGCTGGTCGGGCACTGTCCCGGGACAACCCTTGCACTGAGCTCCCTCCCCACCTCTCCTGACCGAACTCTCCAGCCACAGACCCGGGGGAGTCCGGATTCAGCTCAGTAAAGATCAAGAGCCGCCGCCCCCCTCCCCCCTTCAAGCCCGCCCTCACTTGCCCGTGGGTGGTTCCGTATTCGCTTCGTGGGTACACGCGAAGACCTCATTTGCACGCGCAGCTTGCCCTCTCTCAGACCCCGTTTGTACGCTATCTGCACCAACATTCAAGCGTTCAGCCGCTGAAGTTCTGACTACCTGGGTTCAAATCCCAGTGCCACCATGTACTAACTAGCTGTATGCATCTCTCTTAACGTCAGTCTCTTTGTCTGTAAAATGAGAATAATCAAAGCCATATGTCTTAGGGTTGTTGTATTAATGAGATAAAGTGTGACCCGCTTGGCACAGTGCCCAGCATGGTGGAGGTATCAGATCTTTCCTCACTTGTCATGCTGAGGGCTTCTCTGATCGCTGTTTAAAATCAAACCCCCACAAGCTCTATTCTCCCTTCCCCGATAGTTTTTGCCCAAAGCACTCGTCTGCATCTGATATATTATTTCACTTATTAACATGCTTACTGTGTGTGTCCCCTTGTTAGAATATAAGCTCTCTGAGGGCCGGGATATTTGCTTGTTGCTTGTTTTTTGTTGCTGTACCTTTACCTAGAAGAGAATCTGACAGGTGGTAGCTGCCCAATAAATATTACAAAATGAATGCCTGAATGAACGCCTGAATGAATGGTGTTAATGGATCACAATGTCTGTTTTACTCCTGCTGCTCTATCCTGTACTGGAGCCCCGGGACCACCGTTTCAGGTTCCTTTGGACCAACCAGCCAGTTTCCTCCTTTCCTCTCCCAAGATATCCGGTCTTGGGTTCTTTTTGTTTTTTGGCAGCAAAGCAGGGTGGAGGATGCAGCAGCCACATTCTCCAGGCAGCAGCAGACTCTCTGGCTGGTATTGGTGTCCACACTCTGTCCTGGCTTATTAATGAATCGACAGCCGATTTACCCCTTTCCCAACTGCCTGCAAAGGCTCCCCGTACCCCACATTCATCTGAGATGAGCTAAAACTCCAGCGGGTGGTGACAGGTTGGACGCTAGCGATGCTACTTGGTGTGTCCTGGGGGATAAGACTTGTACGTGTTTCGAATAGAAAGCTTTTTCTGGTCCCCTCATCCCCATTCCCTCCACCAAGACTTTTTCACTAGATTTACAGCAAGAGTCCATTCTGTTGTCAGAAAGTAGACACTGGAGTCAGAAAGTTGACTATGGCCAAGTTCCAAACCCTTTCAAAGCCTTGGTTTCTTCACCTAGAAAATGAGAACGTAAAAGGTGTTTTAAGTGGAGGCAAAACTGTTGTAAGGATAAAACAGAAGAAAAGCGTGTCAAGCCACCAGCTTTGTGCTAGGTACGGGCAATAATTGTCAGACAGATGGATAGATTTGGAATCTGGAAACATCATATGCCATGTATGAAAACAAACAGAACATCAAATTAATGAAATCCAAATTCTAAAGACAGCTTCCTACACCCTCCTCATTGCACTCCCTCTAAGGTACTGGAAGCTCTTTCCCTTTGAAACAGTGCACATCCCGATTTGACAGGTTTCATGATAAAGACTCCAAAGTCCAAAGGATGAAGAGGAAGTGGAAGGGTGTGTAAGAGGAAGGTGGGCCACCAAATGCCAGGTGTGTTCTTCCCCTAGGGAGTCTTGTGATGTTCAATCCTGGCTATTTTCAGATCTTACTCATCTGTAATTTGTGATAAATTGAGGCACTAAATAGTGATGCTATTCCCCATGGAAGCACTTGGACATATTGGGGAGTATTTGTGTATCTCAGTGATTTGGGGCACTACTGGCATTTGGGGAGGGGCTAAGAGTATTCATATTCTACAGTGCTGGAGGCTGTCACCGGAATGAAGAACTGACCTACCCCAAACTCAATAGCACCCCGATCAGTAAACACTGGGAGATGATGCATACTGACAAGGCTCCATATAACTAGTTCCCAGAACTGTAAAAAGAGCCAGCAATCTCAAAACAATCGATATCTTTATTTATTAAACCAAGCCTGAGAAGTCTTCTGTAAAATCGCAGAGCTGAAGTAGGTGCTAGGGGATAATAAAACTACTTTGAAAAATATACATTGGAGAAGAGTGTTCTTCAAGCTGTGGGCATCTGTGCTCTTTTAACCATCCCGTGCAGAGCTAATAGAATCCTGGTTGTGAGGCAGTGCACCACCGATGAGAATCAGTACAATATGGTTTGTTGTATTGAAACACTGGTGGGTCAAGCATTGTCAGAGGCAGGGACATGAAAGTCTTTGCTTCCCCCAAGTACTGAAAGTCTGTTTGTTGCAGTGCACTTAACTGTACTCAATTTCAGGGACACATATCTCAAGAATCTCCCCCAGACTGGGCCATTGCCAGCCCCCATTGCACATGTGAATTTGAAAATGGCACCCTTCCTCCACACAGATGCAGCACATGGCTTGGAAAGTAAAGCCCAGGGTGGTTTTCAGGCCTCATGCATTGTGGTCCCGCTCATCCCTGGCTATCTCTGTTTATTCCATCCGAAAGATAGAATGCTGGAGACTATCCACATGGCTTTTACCCTGGAGAAAGAATGTTTGCTCATCCTACAAATATTTATTGAGCACCTATTATATGCCAGGTTCTATTCCAGGCATTGGTATACTCCTTTACCTCTGTCAAGTGGTAAATAAGATCGGCAAGGTCTCTGCCCTCTGGAAGAAAAGAGGTTCCAGGCAAGTTGCAGGAGTGTTGGCAAATTTAGCCTGTTGGTTTTGTAGCTGGAATTTGCTGCCTGGCTCAAGAGACTGGAAGTGAGTCCATGCCGAGCCTCCATTTTTTATGATGTTATGATACAGTCTTTTGCATAGTTGAACCAATTCAGTCACTCTAAGTACGGATACACAATAGCCAATGAGTTTTAATTAGGTGAATTATAAGCCTTCTTTCAACAGAACTTGTCCCTCACACCAACAGAATCTGTCTAGATACCAACCAGCGAGGTTCAAATCCTTTTGTGCTTTTTGCTACATTTGTGATTTCATGCAGCTGTCTCAATCTTTCTGAGGCTTGATTTTTCAACCCTGTAAACTAAGGGTTGTGACAATACCAACTCAGGGGCTGTTGTGGAGATTAAACGATAGAAGTTAAATGGTTTCATGGCATTACCTAAAACACAGCTAGAACTCATAAGTATTGATGATGATGATAGTGAACTCAATAAGGATGATGATGCAGATATTTTAGGGATACAAGCCGTTGCCATTTCCAGTAGCAGTAGCAGTTTTTCTGTTTTTATTGAGACTAGCAAAATTTGATAAAAAATAAAAACAGTGACCAGTAAATGTGTCACTGGAATAAATAACTGCTGTGGTCTAAAGGTAAATATTAATTTCAGACATTCAAGATCTCAAAAAAACATCTGACATATACCTTTTCTCAGAAAGCTATGGGAGGATGTGCTCCCTGAATACAAGGAAGTAAATCAGGAAAGAGAAAGACACAGGATCCAGAAAATGGCTCCAGCACAGAAAAAAAAAGGCAAAGAGAAATCCTCAAAACAAGGCAACAGGTCTCATAAACCAGCAGAAGATGCAGTTGATAATGGATGATTGATCTGAAGCCATTGTCAAAATCCATTATCTGGACATGGGCTGGCACAGTAAGCCACAGTCCTGCCCAGAGCCTGACCACACCTGCTCTAGAAGACAAGGTCTGTGGTCAAAAAGAAAGTAAATATCCACAGGATGAAAGACAAACCAAACTGGGCATTCTTTCTATCTGACCCAGG